AACGCCAGCAGAGACAAAGTGTTACAACTGACTGCAGGGCCCATTCCCCATCCCCCTGTGCCACGTTGGGACAGAAGAGTGTGAAGATGAGCCTGGGAAGAAGGGAGAGTGGGGGAAGGTGTGTTTAGTTCTGGTTTTATTTTGCACCCTGCTACGCTCTTATTAACTGGCGATACAGTAATCTTCCTCACGTCAACTCTGTCCTGCCTGCGACGGGAATTGGAGTGATCCCCCTGTCCTCATCTAGACTTAGGAGCTTCCCATCTTACTTTCTTCTGCTGTCTCACTGAGGAGGAGGGGTGAGAACAGCTTGGCGGGCACCAAGGCTAATCCACCACACTCTCACTAACAACAACAAACTGAAATAGAGGAGAAATGCTGTTGTCACCAACGCTTTTCCAGGAATACTTTGGTCACGGGTTCAGAAGTCCTCTGCTGCCCTGACAACTGAAGGCACTCATCAGCTACCAAAACGTAGAGCCCAGAACGGAAAGAATTTCGGCAAAATCAAATAGCCTCTGAGGTGGGAGACATGCAAAGTCACCTTGATATGGAAGCAATTTACCGTGGAGAAGGCCAGGCATGGTGCACTGTTCTTAGCACAATAAACAACACTGACAACACAACCCTAAATACTGTCCAACAGAACACGTGCTGTCTTTTAAACAAATCAGTGTAAATGCATGGATATTCAACATATTTTAGAAATGCCTGTACAAGAACTTACCTCTCTTTTTTTAGCTTCATTTGTGCTGTACTTCGGAAAGAGGTAGGAAAAAATATTCCCACAGCAGCAGGCAACATGTACCAATGGACCTTCTTTTCCTAAACTCAAACCTGATGCGACAGCCAAGACTAAAGTAATTGTTTTTATCATCAAAGTCCACTTCCCCAAGTAACCTCTGATGATGAAGCCACTCAAAATAGTTTTTATCTGGAAGAAAGAAAAAATAATATCCGTTATTGTATTCTCCTTTCTTCAGAAAATAATACTTTTATCATTTTAGCTGCACAACTTCAAAAATAGCCTTTTCAAATGACCCACTTTAAAACACATTCAAACTGCTACGCCGAGTCTATTGTGTTGCCACAGGCTTTCCATTTGCAACTTTCTCTTAACACTGGACAGTAACATACAATTATCAGTTACATTTAACAGAAAATTAATCTGCAGTAGCTCCTAAGACTGGTTTATGACGTAAATTATCAAGTGAAAGTCAGAAAACACCTGCAGAAAAAAAAAAACTGCAAAAACTACACTCAAGGTCATCTACTGTAGCAATATCCCATTTGCACCAATTTTACCCTTTTGTTTTCTCCTTATGTTTTACCATCTCTACATAAATTTAACAGTAGATTCCTTGACATCATGATGGAAACGTCCAGACTTCTTCCACAAGAAAAGATGTGCCACTTGCCTAAGGTGTTACTTTGCCTAACAGTGTCATATTATTGGCCTGGAAAATAGGCTCCTACCTAGGAAATAATACAGTTATCACAGGAAAGGACAATGCATCTATAAATAAGTTATACACAAAGCACTGGGCAGCTGTGTCTAGAAAATAAAGGTTAGCTAAATTTGGAAACCAATTTAGGATGAAATTGCTTCCAGAATAATAGCACAGAACTACTCCAGGTTTACTCAGAGGCAGGAATTGTCCTTCAAGTTCTACAATATACCTACATAAAGAAATATTTACAGAACAACTGGCGAAGTGAGACTGACTTTGGGTTTTTTCCTACCATTCTGTGATAGTAGCAGGCAGCAACTGTAAAAAATATGAGGTTTTGAGGATATTACACATTTTACTTTGTGACTGTCTGATTGTTAAGGTGATTAAAGCCAGTGCAACAAAAGATCAACTGCTCTATCTGTCAATGAACCACTACTCTCTTACCACTGCAGGGGTGGGGAGGACTAAGGTAGTCCAGCCAGAGGCATGCAACAAAATCTCAAACTTAGGAGATTCTCTGAAATTTGGTCTATTTTTCTCATCAACAATTAGCACAATTACATTCAATTTGAATACTTGTATTAATTTATTTCATCGAAGTCACAGGGTGCTCTTGTCTTCCCCCTGACCCTGCAAGGCAGCAG